AAAAGGCCTCAAATATATGGCAGATGGGCAGAATAGCTTGGGAGAAGGGACAGTGTTTGCCAAAGCACCTTCCAGGTGGATGAGTTCCAGGGCTCCCCTTGCTTTCCCGATTCGCTTGGCCTTCCTTCACTCTGTGTTTCACTCTAATTTGGTAACTGTGTGAGCAAATCCAGAACAGGCCACAGTGATGGGATCCAGAGAGTGGAGGCTGCTTCTGGATAGACTGCTTCTGAGAGACGATGGGGTAGTCCCCTGCCTCCAGTGCTTACCTTGACCCTGCCAGTGGCAAAGGGTGAGGCCACTTTGTAGCCAGTAAGTCCACCTTCAGGCTGGGATGGGACAGATGTCTAGGGCGAACTTCCTTATCTCACCCGAAGAAGAACAGCTGTTCAAGTTGGGGCTAGTTAGAGAAAGAGATGGGGTGGGCAGGTGCTGGGCAGAGGACCCTCACATCTGCACTGAAGGGAGGTGGGAATGAAATCTGCTGCTTGTTACCCATGGGCATAAATGAGTTCTAGGATGACCCCCGATGGCTTGTCTATCTTTGCTGCTGTTGTTTTTACACCCTAAGGTATAAAATATGAATCCCTGTGAGTGAAGTCAAGGACGTGACTAGCAAACACCTCCTCTGCTGGTCCTGTCAACAACAGATTTGCCGCTGAGCCCAGTCCTCCTATCCCTCAGTGTGAATTCCTTCTTCAGATTCTTTGTTTGTAAGGACCTCTACTGAGATTACATCACAGGGTTTGCAAGATAGACTGAGTCAAAGTTCAAAATGGAATTCACCCTGTGCATGACAGGGGGGTTAATAGTTATCTACCCCAGAAGGGTGTAATGAAAATTTCAGATGTGCCTTGGAATGCCCATTTTCACTTTTCATATCATCGTGTCTCTAGTGTGTGATCTGGGTAATAAGTGATACATTTGAAGTAGAGGAACAGTATACAACCTATGATAACAAGCAATCCCCAAAAGTCAGATGTTCGGGACATTAGGTTTAGCAAGACAGCATGCATGGATGCTTCACATGTGGGAAGCATTTGTGCTGGGGAGTTCTCTCCATCATGAAGGGCAAATTCGTTTCAGGTTACTCTCATATCCTACACCCCATGCTGAAATGAGTAGAATTCCCTCTCCCTCTCCCTCTTCCTCTCCCTCTCCCCCTCCCTCCCTTTCTCCCCCCCCCCCCTCTGTGTTTTGTCTGTCTGTCTCCTCTCTGTGTCTCTCTAAAAATGGCTCCAACAGTAAAAGAAAGGTTGTCCTCTCTGTATCATTCAGGGAGGAAAAGGGCTAAAGAAACCAAAAAATGTGAATAGCTGAGTCTACCTGGCAGCACTCAGCAGTGTGGAAATCCAGGAGTCCTGGGTGAATTGACTGGTTGCTTGCAGTAGTTACTGAATGAGACACTATTTTAGTGAGGAAAGAAACCTTTATTTTTAAGTGTAGTTTAGTAGAACGGGATTGGAAAAACTTTACTGTTGATCTTACAAGGACTGTAAGTAAGAAAAGAAATGGTGGGAATATGGGATGTTTTCTTTTCATTAGACACTTAATTTGGGTCTTTGCAGAGAAAGAATGGCCATTTCCTGGTTTTTGTTTTTGTTTTGTTTTGTTCAAGACAGGTTTCTCTGTGTAACAGGCCCTGCTGTCCTGGAACTCGCTCTGTAGACCAGGCTGGCCTTGAACTCACTGAGAGTTGCCTGCCTCTGCCTCCCGAGTGCTAGGATTAAAGACATGCGCCATCATAGTGTGGTTCATTTCCTGGGTTTTTAAAGCATTAGTTAATCATGTGAAAATCACTTAGCACACTTTTCATATTCTTGTCAGTGTTTTCATTTTGAGTAGGCTTTTCACCATAGTCCCTTAGGGAAGCCTGATCTGCAGTGGGCAACCGTGCTGCATTCTCTGGGGCCCATACATAGGATTCCAAATGCATTAAATAACTCCAGGAACAAGGCAACGGGATGCTGCTCACACTTATTTTATTTTCTTATTCCTGGGAAGCTGCCTTCGGCCCCACAGTGAAGTGAGGGCTGTCTCCTCTCTGGACTGGCTAGAAGCCTGGCTCGCCTCTCCTCTGACCACGTTCAGTGGTGTTTCCATCCCAGGCCCCAGGCTCTGTGTCTTACTCAGTCACACCTTGCGAAGGTACATTTCTTCCCCTGTAAAATTCTCCAGAAATGACATAAAACTCACAGACCAGAATTTTCCTACAGCAAAACTGTCTGATGTCTTACCAGATGCCTCTCCACACAAAAACCAGACTCTGCCTCTGTGTGCCTTTACCTTCTAACACCACATCTGCTCCCTCACCAGCACCCGAGGAGCAGCCCTAATGGCAAAATGAGTCAGGGAGGCTCTGACCTCAGCGTAGCCACACAGACTGAGCTCAAGTAAGTCAGAAAAGAAATACCCATGATAGCATCAGGATGTAAGTAAGACAGAGCAGAGAGAGTCTGGTGACTAGGTGACAGACTCGGCTCCCTACAGATAGAGTCTGTATCGCTGGTCTTCCACACACAGTACAACTGTAGCCAATCATAAGGAATCATATGTTCTAAAGTTGGAAGAGGATTTTGAATATTTCACCTCCAAATAAGGATAAATGTTAGTGGCAATAGGTTAATTGTCCCCAATTTGATCGTTAGACAAAATGCACATGTATCAAAACATTTCATTGGACCTCACTATTCCTACAATTATGTGACAAATGAAAATAAAGTTGGTGTGTGTGTGTGTGTGGTTTTTCAAGACAGGGTTTCTCTGTGTAGCCCTGGCTATCCTGGAACTCACTCTGTAGACCAGGCTGGTCTCAAACTCAAGAAATCTGCCTGCCTCTGGTCTCTGACCTCTCTCTCTCTCTCTCTCTCTCTCTCTCTCTCTCTCTCTCTCTCTCTCTCTCTCTCTCAAGATAGGTTTTCTCTGTATAGCCTTGATTGTACTGAAGCTCACTTTGTAAACCAGGTTGGCTTTGAACTCAGAGAGATCTCCTGCTCCTGCCTCCCAAGTGCTGGGATTAAAGGTATGCGCCATCACCGTACTCTGTCTCTAGACAGCATATCCTCCATGCTAGCCCTTTCCCTTGAATCCAGTCCCCTTATCCTTTAATCATCCAAACACCAGGCTGGTGCTACTCTAAGCATCCCTGCACTTTGCTCTTCTGTCCTGGGAAGACGCAGCTCAACGCCAGCATGTGGCGGCCTCCTCTTGGCAGCTTACCCTCAACTAAGTGCATTTTCTGGTGGAGAAGACACTGACATTGCTTAACAAGACCATACTTGGTCCTTAATTGCACCTGGGAACAAAGTGCCCCATAGTGAGTTCCCAGGATGGCTCAGTGGGTAAAGGTGCTTGCTGCCAAGTCTAAAAACTTGGTTTGATCCCTGGGTCCCATGTGGTGGAGGAAGAGAGCAAATTGTCCTCTAACCTCAACATGTGTGCCATGGCAAGTATGTGCCCATGCATATACACACATATGTAAATGTATGTAACAAAACTTTGAAGTGTCCCATAGAGCAAAAAATGAAAGTGGAAATTAGGAATATCAAAGAAGTTGAGGCAGATAATATCCTCCAATGGCAATGAGTAGGAAAAAATAAAGCTTGAAAATGCTGGCCCTAGGGAAGAGCAATATTGAAGGTCTTGGCACGTACATCTTACCTTTGCAATACCTTAAGTGGCAGATATCTGTCTCCTTAGACCACTCATCTTTTGAGGACATAATCTGTGATTGCTAACCTGTACTTCTAAATCCTCTGTTTTAGTTTGCTAGGTCTGGTTGATGTTGGAAATGCCTATAGATCTCTGTTCTGAATGGGCTCAAGTCTTATTGTATCTTTTTGTTTTTGGGGGTTTTTTTTGTTTGTTTGTTTGCTTTGGTTTTACGAGACAGGGTTTCTCTGTATTGTTTTGGAGGCTGTCAGTCCAGCCCGGCCTCGAACTCACAGAGATCTGCCTGACTCTGCCTCCTGAGTGCTGAGATTAAAGGTGTGCGCCACCACCGCCCGGCTTTATTGTATCTTGTTGGGCCATATTCGGTGGATATCCCTGGGAAGCCTGATCTTGTTCTCCTTCCTTCCTCCCTCCCTCCTTCCTTTCTTCTTTTTTTTAAGGAAACAGAAGAGGAGTTGATCTGGGGAGAGGGGTGGTTGGGGAGGTATTGGGATGTGTGCAGGGAGGGGAAACTGCAGTTGGGATGTAATTCATGAGAGAAGAATGAAAGTTTTTTTTTTTTAAGGTCGGCAATGACTGATGTTGGGCAGCTTTGGCCCCTTAGGGTCTCAGGAAGGACCTAGTGCTTTATTGAGCACTCTCTACCAAAGGTCTATACCACAGGTTCTGGGCTGGGAATAAGAGTATTACGTGTAGTTTGGGTGATGGCTATGAGCTCCAAATACTTTGCTTGATAAAATGGAATATTCAGCTCATATTCATACACTAGATTTTTGTTTTAACTTTGACAACAAAATACAACAATAACATGTAGGAAAATTTGAACTTGAGTATTTATGCTAGAGGGCTCTTCAACGTCTTCTAGGGTGTCCCATCCAGAACGGAGGAGAAGCAAGACAAACGACATACCCGAGCCCAGTACCATGCTTCCCACCCTACACAACACCACCATCTCATCCACATTCCCCAGCTCCCACCAGAACCTCACGAACCAAGCACAGCTGCAGCCACACGTCAGTGGCCATTTACCAAAAGCCAAACCGAAAGGTGGAGTGGAAAGCATTAAAGCACTAGTAAGAAACTCCCCTTGACCCCATGACCCCGTTTATCAAAGGTCTTATTACTCTCATTTCCTTTAGAGATACTTGGTGACAAGATGTCTGTACCCAATGTTTCCTCTCGTCGTCCTGTTTGCAGCAAGTCAACTTTCCTGCTAGAAAGCTTTTTAGCCCCTGTGATCGGTTTCTGCCACCATTGTTTTGATGACACTGCTTGGCAATCATCATCAGTGATGCCACTTTACCAAAGATGAGGGCTGACTACCACGACTTTCCCCATCTTTCTGGAGCTCCCAGGGGCTTCTGATGATGTGAGTCTCTCCTTGCTTTGAAGCAATCTTCTCCTTGCCTGCCACTGCTAGTTCTCTGAACATTCTTTTTCTTTTTGTCATTTCTGCTATCCCCATAGCTACCGAAGATCCTCAGTTTCCCCAACGTTTCTCTTATCTTAGTATTTCACATGCTTTCTTGGAGACCTCTGCCCCTGTTCCTGTGTTTTCATCTTTATCTGTTTTAGTCCCCTGTTGCCACAACAAACCAACCAAAACTTTGTGGTTTCAAACTGCAACAAATTCTTGTCCCCGAGATCCTGCGGCTTAACTGAGTGCTCTTCTGTCTGCGGTATTGGTTAGGGAGCTGAGGGAATGGCTGTTCAGAAATAGCCTTACTACATGCCCCTGAAAATTTGTTCTGGCCACTGGTTGGGAGCTCAAGTAGAATTGACAGTTGAAGGCCTGTTCAGTAAAGTGCTCTTACGCAGTTTCCTCATTCTGCTTCCTGAAGATGTGTTCCAAAAGGAGAAAGTCAAGCTACCAGTCCTCATCAAACAGAGAGAGTCAAAACTCCTGGATGCCCCCTCTCCTGCTTCCCATCGGTCAAGAGAGAGGGAATTGTGGATGGCAGACATATTTGATAATCTGCCACAGTTAACTTTCTGCCTGAGACAATGGCTAGCAATTCCAATGTGCAAAAAACGAACTCATGCCTGCCTAAACTCTCATTCCACGATGGAATCTGCGCCAAGCATAGGATAGCATCATTATATCATCGTATCTGCTCTACTCCTTGATACTGCCTTTCAGCGGTTGCTTCAGGAGGAGGCATTGAGTTCTCTGGATAGAAAGCAGCAAGTTGTATTACAAACTAAGAAACAGTTGTGGGAAAGGATACAGAATAAAGTAATAAAGTCTGGACTACACAGGGCGGGTAAGCACCACTGTTCTTCGCAATTCCGAAACTCGACTGGGCACATGTTACCGTTTGTTTTGACTCCTGGGCCAGAGAATGTCCCTGGATTGGCTATGGGTTTCTGCTCCATGTGGGTAGTTTTCCATGGCTCTTGGCTCTTCCCCTTGGATTCCTGGCTTTCCCTTCTGAGTCGCCCTTCCTTTCCTGTAAGAAATACCATGTGGCAGTGCAGCCTGTCATCTCAGAACTCGGAAGGCAGAGACAGGAGGATCACTGCAATGCAGAAGCCCGCCTGGTCTGCATGTGAGTGTCAGCCAGAGCTACCCGGTAAGACCCTGTCTCAAAACCAAAGCCCCAAACCAAACCAAGCAGACCAAACCAAATGTCCCGTGTGTTTAGTTGAGAAGCTCTCTCAGCCTGTTCCCTGCTTGGAGGGAGTTTGAGGTCTTGGCATCTCTTTCCATTTTCCATTATCTGTCCCTTCAAGTTTAAGCTGATACAAGTCTTTTCTAAAAACATTGTGAGGCCTCTGTGTTCTAAACCAGCGTCATGCCCTGAAGCCATCACCAACTTTATCAGAACAGCTGTGATTAACCACAGCCAACCCACTGTAATTCCATGCCTGTTTGTACTGGGGTAGGTAGAGTACTTAACTAGCATGCAGAAAGCCCTGGGCTTGATCCCCAACATTGCATAAAACTGGATGTGATGATACACACCTGTTGCTCTGGACTTGGAGGCAAGGGAATCAGAAGTTCACCCCGTAAGAAACAACTCATTCCCATTCCTGCAAGAATAATAATAAACTCATTGGTCTGCCAAACTGGAGTCAAGTGCAATCATTTCTTTAGTCTGTCACTGATGTCTTACCTGAGAAGAATAGACATTTGCTCATATTCACCCTGAACTTCGTGTGACACTAAGCCCTTTTGAGACAGACAGTCTAAGCTACATAATCCTGTCTTTAAAAACAACTCGGGTGGGGTGGGGACTGAGCCATGGCTCACCAGTTAAGAGCACAAGAACTGGCTGATCTTGCAGAGGACCTGGGTTCAGTTCCCAGCACCCATATCAAGTGACTCACAGCTGTCTGTAGTTCCAATTCCAGGGGACCTAAAACTCTCTTCTGGCCACTATGGGCACCTGTACACTCTGACATAAACTCACAAAAATACAGAGTCCTCTACAGCAACATGAGAGACCATGGAGAAACCCAGAGACCTTTATCAATTAATTGTACTGTTTGTGAATTTGTATAAATGATAACAAAGATCCTCTTAAAACGTTTATATTCTTACAGTAAAAGGTTAAACTGATATTTATATAATAAAAGAGAAATATGAAGTATGTTTTTGAGAAAAAAGCACAAAATTCCCCCTTGTATCTGTGAATTATTTTTAAGGCATTGTGTGTTGGGTATATGCTAAAGTGGGGGGGGGGGGGGCGTTACGTGTACACCCTAAACGGAAGTAAGGTATAGAGTTCAGTTTGTTCATGTGGGGTAAGTTCATGGTTTAGAATTTCTAATGTGTAAGATTTACCACTAACATCCAAATGTTTTGTTTCTAGAAATGTGATTAGACTGGAGACTTTTATAATTTTTTGTTTTAAATTGTCAACATGGAAACTGAAAGAAAATGAACAAAATGAAACTTTTTTTAAAGAAAAAAATACAAAACAAATAAATCTTTAAAAATGTTCCAGAGTGCTACTACTATATACCTCAAAGTCTGGAAAGTTCCCCAGACTTGCATTTTTTTTTCTAACGGGGAGATCAATGGGTACCACTTGATTTCAACAGTCTGACAACCACACGTTGGATCTGTTCTTCACCTGGAGGCTGCGTTTTCTTGGTAGCTTTTGTAATGGATTGTCATTTTTCTTACTTTGAGAATATTTTGTTACCTGGAGGATCAGCCGATATGAAATCACTTGAAAATCTCTCATCAAACAGTCTCATGTTGAAACTATCACCTCTAAATTCTACCTGAGAATGGAGCAGCTCCTCGCTCAGTTGATCTCGGCCTCCCAGTGTTCTGTCACCAGCCTGGAGATCTTCTTAGCCAGGTCCATGAGTGTTCTTTCTCCTGTCCAAGCACTAGCCATACTCAAAACAGCTTAGCTTCAGATCAGGCAAGGGAAGGTGTGTTTGGGGAGATGTGGCCATAGACTTAGGTATTCCATTTCTGTGTTCACCACTAATGCTATCCCTGGTAAATTACACTAAGTTTGGCTGAAAACTATGACCATACCTAGGATCACTTTATGGTCAACTACAGCATGACTTAGTATGTACACAAATTGCTCCTTAACATTTGAAAATACTTTTGTAACAAATAACCAAGTTTCAGTCAATCACAGCAGTTGAGTTTCCACCAATCACAGGCTGCCTGTTGATGGGAATATGTCCATATAAGGCAAATGTCTTATCACATCCTGCCCAAATGAGATGATCGATGACCAGTAGATAGCCAAGCTATTTCTGACCATCACTCCCCCCTTTCCATCTACAGTATACAGACTTCTTATCTATGGTTCCTCACCCACAGATTAAACTACTCTCACTTGGTGTGCTAGGACCAAGACAGTCATATCTACACTAAACATGAATAGGCTTTATTCTGTCATTGTTTCCTAGGCAACACAGTGACTTACATAGCATTTATATTGTATTAGGTATTATTGTAACCTAGAGATGATTTAAAGTATGTAGGTGTATGTGTGTAGGTTATATACAGAAAGTCATGGCTTAGCTAGCCTGGTATATACATCAATAAACAATAAGAGACCCTGTCTAAAACAAGGTAGAAGGTAAGGATAGAACCCAGGGTTTCCCTGTGACCACCACATTTGGGCCATAGCATCTGCATGAACACACACACACACACACACACACACACACACACACACACACACAGACTTTAAAAATCGACCACCTCTCAGAAAACATGCTATGCCTTTAGAATGAGATATCTCTATGAATATCCATACATACACTGTGTGATTATCATAAAAATGAGAGATGCTTGTTGGGAAGGCTTCTGAATATCCTGCTTTAGAAGTCATATACAGAGAAATGCTGCTGCAGGACTAGGGGAGACAGAGACCTCAATCTCAGGCCGTGGCTGTGAAGAAGATGGGGACAATGGTGCATTATGTGGGGAACTGGAACATAATAGAAGATGATCGGGAGCCAAGACATAAGTTGTTTTCGGTCATGCCATTTTTCCTGTGTGGTGTCTGGTTGCATTGTTGCAGCTTAATAACCAAATTCATTCACAGTGGGCATTTAAAACAACAACAGAAGCTGAGAAGTTGCTGAATTAAATGTGTAGCAATGCAGTGAAGATTTGTGTTAAAAATTACATTTTTTTGTCAGAAATATTGCCTAGAGAATTTTTTCCTGATTTGTAGCTATCACTTGAAATTTAAACTTGTATGTTTTCAATCTTACAAAAATTATTATAATTGATGACAGTTCATTAATAATGACATCAGTATTTTCTGTTTGGTTTTGGTGACATAGTACAACAGCTTTTTTCTCATCTGTTCTGAAGAATGACGAGAACATAGACATTGTCCTTTCACATCATAAAAGTTCCATGTTTGAGAACATTGGCCAGATGATCTTTATCAGTGAGAAAATTATGATTTCTTGGTGACCTTTGAACATATTTGCCAACACATTAAAAATTCTTCCTCTTGCTAGACAGTGATGGCACAGCCTTTAATCCTAGCACTTGGGAGGTAGAGGCAGGTGGATCTCTGTGAGCTCAAGGCCAGCCTGGTTTATAGAGCAAATTCCAGGACAGCCAGGACCACACAGAGAAGCCTTGTCTGGGGGAGGGGGCAAGAAAACCCAAAACAAAACAAACTTCTTCCTCTTAGTTATAGATTGAAATTTTTTTCATAAGATAGCAAAACTGTATTTATTTAGCATATTATAACTTAGACATAATAAATTTAAAAACCCAAAGTGTTGTGGTTCCTTAAAAAAATAATTTCAGAACCAGTCAGTCAAAATCAAGGAGTACACAGGTTTCCTCTCTAGACAGGGCTACTCTCTGCTTCCAGGATAGTATCTTGATGCCATGAGTTCACAGAGCAGAAGGAGATGAATGCTGTGTCTTGATATGGTGAAGGAGTATAAGAACTTGTTTATGTTCCCCCATTCCTTTCATAGGTTGCTAATTCTACTTATCAGCTGTCTGTCCTTATAATTTAATTGCCTTCTAAAGCCCTAGCCACCTAAGACCACCCTGGTAATTAAGCTTAAATATGGAAATCCTGAAAGAAACATTCAGACCACACCAGGTACTAATTTCCATGACTTTCTTACTAAACACTGAACTATTTAAAACTAGTGACTTAAGACAATCTTATTCCTTATTGGGATTCTAGCTTGGTTTTCCTTGTAGCTGCATCCCACATTATGTTCAAAGAGGAAATAATCAAAAACTGATTGTTCTCTTAAGGTTTGAGTTCTGAAGTCTCAGGATGCATCTTCCACAGCCTCTGCTCATCAAAATGTCTGCTAGTTTAGATGGGATTCAAGAGGAGAAAAAATAAACACCAGCCCAGGATGGGGAGTGCTATGTGTCCACAGAGGGAAGAAACCATCTTTGAAACTAAGAAACCATCTTTGAAACTAGGGCTCACACCTCTGTCCAACAGATACCACACCAATGGTTCTAGTCCCTTGGATGCAGGCCTTCTTCCTTTGAGATGTCTTTGCATGCGCTTGAAGTCGTGCGGGAGCATAACTTACCGTGTTTCTTCCTTGACCATCTCACTCTATCCATTGCACCACGGAGCTACCTTATATCTCCTCACTCTATACTCTGCATTTCAATACACGGCAAATAGCCAGACCTGCAAGATTAAAATACACATATTTAAAGCAGTGCCTGGCACCTGAATGGAGAAAGTACACACGAGTTATCATTGTTTGTTATAATGATGATTCACACAGGGAGGTACCTAGTACTTAAGAATATTAGTTGACTTGAAATACTTTTTGTTATTTATAAAGCAAATATTCTACTCATTCACTGATACCCAGAATTTTCTATTTAAGTCACAAGTTATTGTTAACCTTTGAAAGTGGGATTCCCCCCCCCCCCACAGCCATCGCCTCTAACCTAGGACAGTTGCAGAAGTGGATAACCTCTGAAGATATACTCATATGGCTGCCAGCTCTGCACAGGGGACTATTTCCTTGGCCAGAAGCTCAGGTTTTTTCCCTAACACCAGCCAAATAGAGACATAATATCTATGAGTCGCACTACTTCCTCATCTGCCTACATCCTGAACAAAAGAGATGGGGAATTCTCAACATTCTTGGAGAAGTTCCAGGTAAAGAGTCCCATTTAAATGCCTACTTATCTACCATTGTACAAAGAAAATGCAACAGTGAAAAAGCATGTGGACCCTTCACCTTGGAAACAGTTCTTCCACTAAGGAATGAGTGCCCCCTAAGAGAAGACACCAGAAATAATGAACTGGTTTCTTAGCTGTGACTCTGGTTTCCTAATTCAAAACAAAAGGAGGTTAATCACATTGGTACCACACTCTCCCACAGTATGGCTGCTTTAGTTGTCAGGGACTCTTTCTGCCACCATATATTGAGAACCTCTGTATCACACGGGTGGTAAGAGTAGGGCAGCACATGCTAGGACATCTCATGTAAACAAAACTGCTAAGATCATGACTTCCATTTAAGATTATTCTGAACTTCTTTCTTGGTGCTTTAGGTAACAGGTTTATACACCAAGAGAAAGATTTGGCTGTATACATTGTGCAACCTTCCGGGGAAGATGTGCTTACTTGTGCAAGTGGCAGCAATAGTGGCATTACTATTTTGAGGGACACCAACCACTCTCAGCTTGCATTTGAAACCTACTTCATAGGAGAGAATTTATCCCTGGTACATGTTTTTACCTGGTAAAAACAAACAAAGAACACATGGTCACGGAAATCATAAACCCTAGGAGGTAACTGGATACTATTGTTTAGCAAATTCACAAAGGTACCTTTTGAGTATTTATGTTTGTACCATAGACATGGCCACCGTTAGCCTTAATTAGATTGGCTTCCCTTTCTAGTTAATGCTGGGAAATGCAGAGACTCAGGGCGATATGGCACACTGAGAATAAATGACAAATCAGAGTTTAGCCCTAAACATCCTAACCCAAACTCAGGGAGAATTGAAGAAGAAAGAGAGGAAAGAATAAAAGAGCCAGAGGACAGAGGGGATTAGAAATGTAATCTCGCAGGCAAGGCACAGCTACAGCAAGCATGAAATTGTGGCAGCTGTAGAGGACTGTGCTGGGCCTGCAGAAGAATAGGCCCAGGGATAGATGGAAGAGGGCCTCAGTTCCCACCCCCACTGCTGTAGTACATTCAGGGAGAGTGGAACCTTCTGTTTTGTGCTTACTGGTGACTCAGTCAGGCTCCAATGAAACAGTTCCAATCCAATAGTCACAAATGGGTCACAAAACAAAACCAAGTCAGGACTCTGGGTAAGGAATGAGGAGGTGCTGATAGGGTTGGGAGAGAGGAAAGTAAGAGGGTATGGGGAAGACAGAGTGATCAGAAGGCATTATAAACATAAATGAAACTTTCAAATAGAATTAATCTGTAAAAAAATGCAACATGCTAATGGGAGATGTAGCTCAGCTGGTAGAGTGCTTTATGCATAAAGCCCTGGGTTCAATACCCAACAACACACAGCCCAGGCATGGTGATGCACAACTATAATCCTAGAATTTGGGTTAGAGTGGCCCCATCTTCTCCTCAGGTGTTGAGATAATCTAACAGAATTCCATTTGCGTCCAGATGCCACCATGGTGGATCCCTCTCCCTGGAGACACCACCACAAATCTTCTCTGACCTGGGTGAGCACCTGCCATTAAAGAATTAGAGCAAATAAAAACGCATCATGCTCCTGTGTGTCCCACAATCCCTTGTGTCCTCTGGACAGGCACTTAAGGTAGACTTCAGTCTTAGTGGCTGTAGCTTGGTGCTTGCTATCACGCAAGGATTGCTTTGCTTTTAGCCCAGGAGGCCAAGAAGACACAAGCCACTCAATTTCTTCCCTCTGAGGACTGACCACGAGAACTTGAGTCTGCCCAACAAATGGCTGACCCCGCTGTTGGGAACAATGGACTGTCCAAACCTTGCCTTTCCCAGGGATTAACATACCCACCCTCACTTTATTGGGCTTATTTCTCCAGTGTCTAACCCTACATGTACCCATTTTCCCTCATGCCAGACAGAATTGGCTTTTGATAGCAACTCCAAATTCTTAGCCCACTCAACACTTCAATGTCTATTTTCCAATGAGGAACCTGAGGTCATAGAAACTCAGTAGCTTTGTCACTGCTCACAGCATCAAGTGGTGGATCAGGGTTTCGAAGTCATTCTTTTCCTAGTTGTTCCATTATCATTCATAAAACCAGGCGATATTGGGAGAAGCAGCAGGGTGTGTGTGTGTGTGTGTGTTCAACTCGATTCAGAGAGAAGCCATGCAGTCTGAGGCATGACCTCGGAATGCTGCTGTGAGTGAGTGACAGTTCAAGAGGAACACTCACTGA